TTTCCCCCAACTCTCTGTTGTTCTATGCTCTATTTATAAAATTTAACATTCCGCTCTAGGTTCCATGGTTTTTTTGTCTATATATTTTATATATTCTTTTTTCCTGTAGGTTGTGCCAAGTTTTTGCGGCTTCATTGTCAGTTCCTCCGGTCTCGTGATTCTTCTCCATTTCTTCCGACTGCCATTGCATCACGTTCCCCGTCCCTTCCATTCCCTTCCACCCATTCCCATTCCCTTCCCGGGTCTCTTGTGTTTTTAATAATGCATAATTTGTTTTATAACTAGATTCGGTTCCCGCATCGCTGCCCACTCCCCATTTTATCTATGCCATATATATTGTGCATACTATATACGAGCAATGAAAAAATATTTTAATCAAAGTGAAAACAAAGCATTCCATTGTTCAAAAGTTATTAAAAATGCCTTGCTTTGTTGGGGGTTTTTTCAGGGCTTGGTTCATTTTCTAAAGTGCCCGGGGAGGGGTGTGAAGAAATAAAACCGGATAAGTGAGGAACTCCAAGTGCTGGACAACCATTGTCTAAGCGAGCTTGAACAATGCTGTTATAGCGAGAAATTAGATACTGCAAAGTGCATCGTTGGAATAGAAAATCCAGTACTTTATAGTGACAAGAAATGCAGATTTTTTTAATCTTTGATACTGCAGGATTGCAGGATGGAACTTCATTCACTTAAGACCGCATAGTTAATCTGTTTCTTGAAACTTACCAAAGTATATTTGTTTCTTTTTTAGTAACTACGATCTCCACTTACAAAGAAAAGAGAAGTATTTTCCAAAATTGTATCAGTTATAAGGATTATATAAAAATACTATTTAAAAATATTTTATGGTTTAATATATATATATATTATATATTGTAAACAGAAAATATTACAATCCTATTTTGCCTTTTAAGAAATTACATACTTTTAAAGCCCCAAAATTTGCAATCCAATTAAAAAATCTTTTAGAAAACTCTCATTAAAAACTTGCCATTAAAGTGCTTCCTACGGCAGGTGAAGAAAGTTATTACCAAATTATGGTTTTCAGAGGTGTTCTAAACCCCTTTTCCCCTTCCCCTCAGGGGCACACTTATAATGTCATTACCCTGCGTGGCAATTTGGATTTTGGTTACACTTGGGAAAGGTTTTCCTTTCTGTCCTGTTTATTTTTGTTGTTTGGGGCAGGAAAACTCTCATAAAAAGCCGAAGTGAGACATAATAATAAAGCAACAAAAGACAATTCAGCTCGTAAAAATACAAAATAAATGTTATAAATGTAGCCATAAAAATTACAGCAACAACAAAGGTGGGCCACCCCTCGGGGGGTTGTGCTTCTTCTTTTTTTGGCAACCTTTGGCAGCGTAAAATATTTTTAACTGATTGATACGCGGGGGTGGTGGGCGGTAGGTCACACGTATGTGTAAGTGGACCTCGCTGTGTGTGTGCCAAGTTGTTTTTGTCACGCAACACACAAGCACACACACTCACACAGGTGAAGTGACATTAAGGGGAAGAGAGAAGAAATGAGGGAAGGAGAGGAGAGGGTGGGAGACCATGACGAGTGACGCCGAAAAAGAGGCACACACTCACACGCAGACAGACGCGCGTGAAAACAAATGAGAAAAAATATGTTACAAAGTGTCGCACATGACACACACTCACTCACACCCACGCAGGCAAACACTCTCGTCCACATACACAGGACCTTATTTCCTTAAAAAAAATATAAATAAATATTTGTATTATATCAACAATTTATTTATTTTAAGCAAACATATGAATCGGTTTTAATAAATGTATTATTCGGAATTGCTTGTTTTTATTTATACGTAACCTATATTGTTATTAAAAAAATAAATAATTAAAATAATATATTTAAAATATAACTGATCTTGGCTCCTGTGCTGAAATTAATTTCACCCCTTTTAATAAAAGTAATGGCCAATATTCTATGAAACCGGACAAACCATAACATTACTAATTTATCATTTGTTAATATTAAAGGGGCTTAATAAAATCTAAATACAAAATGTTTTTTACCTTTTTGTTTTTAACTTTTTAACAAAACAACGGTAAATCAAAAGTTTCAAGTGTTTTAAAAAATTGTATTTCAATCTAATATATCCTAATATTTTCAAATTGAAGAGTGCATCTTATCTTAGCTTAATTTAATTACGAAAGCACTTAATGTTTTTCTTATAAAGCCCACCGTACGATGGTTTAATTTTTTCCAGTGCACTGGCTCAGTTGCACACCTACAGGAGCATGCCACTTGCTCGCCTCGTCATGTCCTGGCAGCAACTTTTACATTGTTTGGCTTCGAGCGTTGTGCCATTTTTACTTTGGCTTTCATGGAGAAAAGGGGGTAGGTAAAAACGGGTGAAAAGGGGGCAGGAGTCGGTGGGAAACTGGGGTTTGGGGGCAGATTGGAAGGGGTTCTTTGGTAGGTGCCGCTTTTGTGTCATCCTCGTCGACGCATTCGTGTCAAATTTATTTCTCCCCCTTTTTTTTGCTTTGTATTTTAGTGTAATTTTGTTGATTACAACGTTGTTGCCTTTCTCCTTTCTCCGTGCCCTTTCTCCGACTCTCAGAAAGTGTGTGTGTGGGCATGACATCGTTGAGTGTGTAATTTATTTGGAGTGATCCTAAATTATACATGCATGTGCGTGGCGTAACTGCCAAAGATATGGCCAGGGCTCTCGTTAAATTGTATTTAAATTTGGGGTTTACTTTTTGGAACAGCTCGATTTTGCCAGGCACTGGTTTTTATGTTTTATGAACAGACATCATTATCATAAAATATTCTAATATTTTTTTAAGAACAAAGGCAAGTGTAACCTAAATTATAATACACATACTTGCATGCATATAAATAAAATAAATGTAGTATTTAAAGGAAATTCTCTTAATTTTCTTTATTTATATTAATAATTTTGTATACTTAAATTAACTATTAAATCGTCTGTACTTTTTATAAGAGTAAAAAAATGATAATATTTTTAGAAAAATATATTAAGCTAAGATTCTATAAAAATAAACTTATATATTTGAATTTATATTTTTTAATGTCCTAAAAACTAACTATGATTTGATGAAACCAAAAAGCAAAGGCAAGCCCAGAAAAGTATGCTACACTTTCGTTGGCCAGCCACCTTCATTACGTTGGCCTTTTATCTTCGCCCTTTTCTTGCCCCTTGGCTAACGCTTTTACGGCCACATTATTACTTTTTATGGCGGCACAAGGGAAAGTCATGTTTCGAGCTTGTTAATACGAAAACGGCGGTGGAACCACCGAATTCTGGCACCACCCGCGGCCAGACTCAACGCCAAAATGTCTAATGAAATCTAATAAATTAAAGAGATTTATACAAAGGCCTTTTGCCCATGGCTTAGCTCCCTTATTCTCAGCTCCTTCCAGATATTCCCCCTATATTGTATACATATATATTTATCCGCTTTCCTCGTTGCCAGCGGCCTAATTTCGTGGCTGGCATAACTTACATTATGTTCAAAGCTGGACTGAGGAAACTTATTGGCTTTTCGGCAGAGTGTAAATTCCTTGAATAACAACAAGTGCGAAGGGAAACTTTTCCCCTTTTCCCGCCACTTGTCACACTCTATTGTCTTTTGCTGTGAATGAGGACCCCAAGGAACCCAAAGCAGATAAAAGATATCGGATAAGAAGTTGAAGTTCTCCCTAAACAATCAAAACTTTAAACTTGAATCAGCGTCAAAGCTCCAATAAAATGTTTTATTTTATCACCCCACTAAATTCAATTAAAATGGCCATAGCAACCTTTTTTGTTTCACTGCTCTTCTCTGCCTTTGTGTGCATAAAAGTTTAATTGATTTTCAATGTTTATTTGGCAAAAGAAAGGAAGGAAATAAAGAGCATTAGAGGCCATAAATTGAAGTGGCTGAAAAATTTAATCAACCTTCGTGTGACAATCCTGGAGAGTAAAATATTTGCAAGTCCCTGGAGCCACTTTCCTATAAATCTTGTGCCGCTTTAGAAGGTGCAAAATTGTATACATAAAATACTTCTACGTAGTCGCATTCGCTGAGGTAATGTTTTAAAAATGATTTATGGATCGCATCCCCACATCCTGGCGACGGAGAAAGGCGAAAACAGAGCGGAAGGAAGGAAGGATGGGCATGTGTGAGGATCGCAGGGGGCTCGAGGAGCCCGGGACCCGAACCCGGCACCTCAAGTGCTCGGCCAGCCATGCAATTACATATATCAGGGAGCAGCTTTCTGCGGGGTGGCCGGGAAATAAGGAAGCATCCCTTGTTATTTTTGTGCATGTTACGGCAGGGGCGAATGCATAAATTATTTAAAATTACCCGCCAGTTCGGCAGAAGACCCTCCAGCACCCGTGGAGCAAACTGGAGCTTGTAAAGTGCGTGTAACATCGAACAAATAGTATTTGGAGTGCAATAAATAGATGATAAATGTCTTAAAGCCGACCCAAGACTTCCTGCACAAAGTTAATCAAAGCGTGTGAGAAATGGGCATTTCTTGGCGGAGAACTACGCAGTTCACGGGGTTAAGTGTCCTCGCGAGGAGCAACTTTCGTTTGTTTAATAAACAAGGGCCTTGGGGGTTCATTAATCATGAAAGAAAATATTTCACCCTTATCCTAATCCTAATGAGTTACTGGATACTTGTAACAGAAACTCTTCCTTAACCCTTTTGTCTGTCCATAAATGTTCTTCGTTGTTATTACTTATCATTAGCTAAACGAATGACTCAACAACAAAAATGTATATTTTTGTTATTGGGTTACTATTTAGTAGTTAAGTTACAATAAAATAGTACCATGTGTGTATTTACTATTAAAATTAGTAAAATGGTAAAAGAAAATTTGTTATATAGATATTTTTAATTTTGTTTGGGTTACTATTAAATAGTGATACTACCATTAAATGTTACCATGTGAGTATTTATTTCTAACTATTAACTATTTCATTTCCTTACGAACATAATATTTATAAGAAATCTAATGTTTAGGTTTAAGATTGATTTCAATACTGATCAAGATTTCCCTCTCGACTACCAAGGAAGATTTCTTCAGCATGTAGTGAAGATGCAAAAGGATGCAGAAGGCGAAGGCGATGCGAAACAGGAGTCGTCTGTTGGGAGAAACCAATCCGAGGACCAGAGGACTCCGTTGGAGGCAACAGCGCCGTATGTCCTGATCAAAACTATCGGTACCCTGGATTCTACATCTGAATTCCTTACGTTCCAGCCATCCATGGCTGGCCAGGACCTCCTCGAACTGAAGCAGCTGAGACAAGTGCATCCAGGAGGTTTTCTGGGAAGCTTTATTGATGGCCACCAGATCATCGAGGGTGTGCAGGAGTGACCTGAGATTGTTGATGATGACCCCCATCTGAAGGATTCTCCGCCACTCTCCACTCGAAAAGGTATAGATGGTGCTCATGTTATAGAGAAGGATCAAAATCAACTGGGGGCTCAGACAGTCTATCGTTTCCTGGGTCACCTTAACATAGGATCGGTGCAGTCGCTGCAGGAAGAACTGGCGTCTCTGCAGCCTTCATATTGCTCCAAAATTCGATCGTAGGATCTCCAGACAAAGCCTCTTATCGATTGCTGCCATTTCAATGTTCACCAGCTCAAAGGACTTGAGAAGGAGGGCGAGGACAATGCCAATCAGGTGCGAGGTGACATCCATTACCCAAATGGCCAGAGAAACGGGCACCACGAAGAACACAATGAAGAGCAGTTTCCAGCTGGTGTCCCTGGGTCCCAGAAGATTCTCGTAGAACATTCGGAAGGTGAGCAACTTGATCAGCAACTGGAGCACCAAGGACCAGGACAATTGCAACTTTTGTCGGCAATGTCGATAGAGTTTAGATGAAAGTCGCAGGATTTTATTCATCAACCTCGTTCGCTCCTCCACGACTCTCCTCGGCTGGATTAGCAGATAGCAGATGAATCCCAGCAGCTGGATGTGGAGCATCAAGGGATATGGGTCCAGTAGGGCCAAGCTGAAGAAGAAGGCGCACCACAGGCCAATCATCCGGGACACGGTGACACTCCAGTAGGTCAAACGCATCTCGTTTCGGGACTTCTCGTAGCGCAGTCGCATCAATCCCAGGTAATAGAACTGCGCCAGGTAAAAACGCAGCAGGAGAACGTGCCTGCTGATGTAACGGTTGCTCAGGCGAAGCGAGCGGAACAGGGCCATCGATGAAATGGAGCCCTCGACTGGAGGTTCCCCTGAAGGTATCCCCCGTGGTAATGGCCATCGTTAGGTAGGCAATGCTCCCATAATGGCCTTCTGATGTTCACCAATTAGGGCTGGTCTGTGATGAAAGGGGAATATGGAACCAGTTCTGGAGTTACGCAGTCGGTATCTCATTTCAAATGCAAATATCATAGTATATGAGATCTTTATTAGAATTAGTTTTGTTTATTTAAAAAACAAGAACTTTTAATTTTCAATTTTGTTGTCGTAAGCAAGGTCAAATCATCAATTTTGACTGTTTGATTATAATAATATGAAGGTGTATTACTACTATTAAATGTTTTATCAAAATATAAAATTAAGTTAGCACGGATTAATTAAGTATGAATTTAAGTAAAAAATAGAAGTATTAGATATATACATATATTATTAATTATATTCTAGTCTTCCCATTCTAGTTTGCATTCATCGTTTGTGCTTTTCAAATTCTTGTTTATCCTTATTTGTTTATGAACTCTTCCTGGAAGTGTGCTGCACTTGTTGAGGAGGGCCATGGCATCAAAGAAAGTATATTAACCAGGAAACAAACCCCTACTCAATGGACCCATGGCCAAGAACATTTTAGTTGGATGTACTCCGGCATTCTTGCACTTCATCAACACAATTTGTTATGCAATTAATTTGAGTGGCAAAAAGTGAGGAACTTTGTTTGAAGGCGCCAAATGGCGAAATGGCTGATGGAGAGTGGCGAGTGCTGAATATGAAGTCTGGTAAACAAGTTTTGCATAATTTCCATAAAATATTTCATAAACAACTTGAAAAATGGGGAAGCTGAGAGCAAAAAAAACGAAGGGAAAAAGAAAAGTCCGAAAAGAAAACAAGGCAAACTCGCAGCGGTAATTAAAAAGTTCACAAAAGAGTCTCGGGCAGCAGGGACTTTGGAAAATTGCTACCAAGAAGAATCCCACCGATGACAAGGCACAAAACTTGCCGATTGAATGCGAAATGTGGGCCTGGGACAAGAAAATCCCTATCCCGACTCCAACCCAGCCCAAGCCAATCCAAATAAATTAAAAAAGGAACTGCAACTCGGTGCCAAGTTTGTCACCGCAGAAAAATAATACGGAAAAAATGGCTTCATATATATGTAGGGATAGATATTAAAATATGTAGATGTGAAAAAAACAGCGCACTGAAGGCTTGGCAGGAACCGCAAACTGTGGTTACTGTGGCAACTCTGGTCAGTGGTTGTTACTTTTCCACTTTTGTTGTTATTTTTGCGGTGGTCGTCCTGCCAGCACTGCATCCTTGTGTCCTGGCATCCTGGCGATGCCACTGCTCATTATTGTCCATCGGAAATTGAAAAAGTTTCCTGCCTTCTGCTTGACAATTCACACTCTACATTTATCCATCCATCCATAAATAGCCAATAACATCAATAAACCCTCTGTTTTTACAAGTGACCAGACTTTGTGCGCAGAAAAATGATTTTAATTTTGGATTTTATCAACATTAAACATGAGTAGTTGAGTAATTTACATACCATAGACTTAAGAGGTGTTAAATTTTTACCACAATTTGCATTATTTTGCTACCGAAGATAACAGCTGACGGTAGTTAAGAAAGCTCTCTTCAATTGTGTGCTCTTTAAACCGGGTTTACCCCTAAATTTAACCGGTTTCTCTTTTTGGGACAACTTGAGGGGTGGTTTTTGAAACGGTTTGGATTTATCTGAGCGGTTTGAAAGCGGGGAAATGCTATGTTTCAGGGTGGCAAACATCAGATTGAAACGAAAGTAAATACTATGGGTAGTTAGCTGCTATCGGCTATATCCCGACGCAGCCAGTCGACCAAGGAATCCCTGGCGCATTCCGCATCCGCATCCAGGCAGAACAACTTGCAGATGTCCTCCAACCAGTTTCCTATGATATAGCGCTTGATGCAAGGCATCACGCCCAGTTCCCGGAACACCTTGAGGCAATAGAGTTGCAGGCGGGGATTGTCCACCGTGGACTCCATGAGGCGACCCACGTAGCACGGCAGTTGGGTGAACTCCCTGCTGCGCCACAAGGCCCTTTTGCTGTGTAGGCCATTTAGTAAGGCCAAGACCGTATATTCCCAGTTCTCCACCTTCTGGCGGGGTAGCAACTTCCTTGGATTTTCGTCAGACTGGGCAAATACATCATATAGGAGCTTCACCCCGTCCACCGCATCGAATCTCCGCTGACCCTCTACACAGCAGAGAAGCAGGGCAAATGCCTTGGTGGCCATGTCCCAAAAGTTGGACAGGCGGTTCAGGATCCTCGAGTGGAGCAGCTCGAAAAAACCCAGTTCGATTCCCTGCTCGGGTGCCACTTCGAGAAGATGACACAGATGGTGCCACAAGTGTTGGGGATAGTGCGGGCGGCAGGGATCCTGCTTGAAAATGCTAGCCAGGGCTGAAAAGTTCTCGGGATCCTCCAGGATAATTCCCAGAACTAGAAGGATATTTTACAAATATTAACAAATCAGAAATCATCAGGAAAAAGAGACCAATAAGAGGGTAAAAAATATATGGAACTAAATTAAATGGAAACTGCAAAAATAAATTGACTTATATAAAAACTTTAAGCCAAAGTAAGGCTGATTTATGAGCACGGCAAATCTTTAATCTGAAATATTTAAAAATTTTTGAATCTATGAAACGTATTGCAATCTCGAAATCTACAAAACACTGATTTGATTATTATAATAGATTTCTAGTTAACAAATGGCTTACCCTTTGGTTTTCCTGTTAAGTTACGCAGAATCTCTGAAGCTAGATCATCTTTAATGTTCTCTTGCTCATGAATTATTTTATAAAACTCTATCCTCAGACATTTGCGATTGGCAATATTCTCTGCTCCATCGAAATTCCGGGAGAGTATATCTGTTTTAAAAACCATTAATCTTTAATATTACCTAAAAATTTGTATAAAACACTCAAGTTACTATAAATCTTCAAATACATCTCCCCCTCCCGATGTTCCTCCTTGTGAAGCTTCAATCTCATACGCATAAAGGCATTTTTCAACCTGTTGAAAAGGGGAAACTTGATTGATTGGTGGAAAATCAGCGAGTTACTAACCCACTTTCTCACAATGTCCATTTCAGTAATGGCTCTCTGGGCATTCAGAGGGTTCAGAAGAAACTCGGTCAGCGAAACGACTGCCTTCCAGTGGGTCAGGCGAACATCACTATCCAGTTCCTTCAGCAGTTTGGGAAGTGCAAACCATCCGTAGGCCAATTGGGCACGATCCTCCAGGTGAGTGGAGGTGGAAGTGCAGCAGTATGGGGCGCACTTGCAGATATTGCGTTTCTCCATGTCCAGAGCCCACTCTAAAATAAGTGTTATCAATTGCCGATGGTCAGACCATCCTCTTTTATTTACCCTTGTTCTGCTGGCTGTTGATCGAAGTCGGTTTCAGCACATCCTTGATCTCGTGCTGCAGGAAGTGATTGCGATATTGCGCTAGCTGCTCCCACATTTTGGCCAAGAAATTCTGGGAATATTTAAAATAAAATATAATACGTTTCAAATGTCAGGGGTTGTTTTTTTTGTCGAATTTAAATCTTTTTATAAATGTTTCATGAGACAAATTTGTCATTCAATGAAGTGCGGTTTTCAGGATTTTATAATTCCAAATAGGTGTTTTATAGTTCTGATCCACGAAACAGATTATTTTTAAGCCCGAAGACTTCGTTTAATTATTATATTTTAGATGAAAACATTTAAGCATAATAATAATATTCAAAAAGAAGGCTAACTGCATTTAACACCATAACTTTTTTGCCAATATTGCTTAGAACCGTAAAACCGAACTGAAAAGAATAATGCTTTTTACTATGTGTTTCAATGTGTATTAGTTGCTAAAGTGTGTTGTCTCACACGAACATCTTTTTAAGGAAACGTAAATTTAAAATTCAACCGTTTAGGGAATACCCCAAATGATTCAGTGGCGTAAAGCGCCACGGCGGATAAAAAGGGAACCTTTGCGGTTGGTGTCTCGGGGGCCAGCTGATGGCTTGCGTCTCGGCTGCAACAGCTGGTCGCCTCATATATATATGTAAATACCCATATGTCATATATATTTCGCCGATTTAATGCCGCTGCACTTGTGAACGGGCTTCGAGCGAGTTAAAACCGAATAATAAATGCGGACCGCGATCGAGGAGCACAGTGAACAACTCTACAAGCAGGCTGCCAGCGCGCAAACGATGCGGATATCAAAAGTGCAACTTTATTGACCGGTTGACGTTGCGACTATATTGCAACTGCCGATTGCAACACCTATTTACCACAAATGCGCTGGGCTGCAAAGTTGTACAAAAGAATCAAGAGAAGATACCTGCTGTGCGTGTGGGAAAATGTAAACAAACGAGCTAAATAAATAGTAAATCAGCTAAAAAACCACTGAGGAAATATCGAAAAAGCGCAGCTTTGTTGTTGTGCCGGCTGAAATAACTGTCCCTGTGTGCGTGTGTGTGTGTGCGTCTCGTAGTCGCGTGTGTGTGTGAGTGAGCAGACAACAAAAGAGCCCCTTCGCCTAGTTACCGTTACTTGCACTGCCAAAACAGCAAAAACAAAAACCAAGAGGAAATAAATAATAACAGTGGTCCTGCCAAAAATAAAAGTCAATTACGAAGAATCGGAGGAATCGACTCGCATCGAGCAACAAAAATGGCCTTGATAAGACTGGCAAGGTGAGTCCTCTGATAATATCACCGGCCCGTCTAAATATAGGAAACTTTTCCGTTAAGACACTCGGTCCCCTTTTCGCTCTTTGCTTTACCACTTAACAAACCGCTATTTAGCCAGCCAGGGGCGGAGTTGCCACCTCAAAAAGGGGGTTCCCCGAAAAATTGATTTTCCTTCGCCTGCGTCGTCATCCTGACAGGCTGACCCGAACTGACCCCATTTGTCATTTTCGTTTTCCGCCGAGTTCTGGAAAATCCGGCCCTGGCCTTTTTGTTGCCGCTTGGTCAACAGCAAAGCGCTTGAGGCCGTGTAATAACTTTAAGGCAAAAATTTATTTACCCAGCGCTGAGATGTTGATATTGATGTTGGTCAATGCACTTTATCGCCCCTGAAACGCACTTAACATATAGCTAGAAGTACTCAAGAACTCTAGAAATATATTGACAATATTGCTATAGGATCGAAAACAACAAAGGAAACTCTTCTAGATATTATTCTTATGATCTTAAGTTTTTTTTTCATTATCATAAACAATTTACAATATTGTGATAAGAACGAGGCCGTGTAACTCTATAAATCAGACGTAATATTGACAGCTACAGGATCGAAAACAACAACAAACTCCTCTAAGATATAAAGAATTTATCTTTATTTAACTTAATAATTATCTTTATGATCTTAAAATAAATTTTTGTATTTATCATTAACAACAAACCAAAATTTATATAATAATGGAAATATATCAAAATAAACATCCTTGCTCTGAATTACACATTTATTTGGCAAGATCTTCAAGGAACAATAAAAATACCAGTTTTGTAACTGGTAAGAACCAATACGTATTCGTAAACAAATATAATCACTAGCTAAAGATAATAATTATCTAAGAAGCAGTTGAACTGCATAATAATAAGCAAGTTACTAGCAGTAACATGTCATACAATAATTATATTCAATTAATTCTGATATAAAGATAACCTCCTATTGTTTAACAATCTATTTATTTACCTTCTCAGTTTCGATTGTTGCCTTTTCAAACACCTACAACTACTAAAACAACAAGCACTATCTATCCGGGAATCAAATTTCCAACGTCGTACTTATCCATTCATCACTGAGTTCGATTGGGTGTATATTTTTATGCTGCTTACTTTGTTTACGCTTGCAAAGTAAACAATCGCAAATCACACATGATTAAATTAATCAAGCGGCGTACAGGCGTTAAATGTGCGATCAGTTGATTGATGACCCGCTGACTGATTGGCCGCGTGTTTAGGAATCAAACATCAGAAATCGGGACTATCCTACATGCTATATATATAGTGCCACATGCAATTTAGATTACGGCATGGATTAATGGCGAAGTCCCCGAGTCATTTGGTTTCGAATTGGTTTGGAGCTGGTTCAGGGCGGTTCATTCTGCAGTTGAGAGATTATTTGTACCTGATTTCTAATGAATTTACCATAGTTTACCATAGCCTGACTCATCCCCTGGCAATTCCACTCAGGGGTCCAAAAATAACTTTACAGCCTTTCAGCAATTGAGATCGCAGTTCCTATAGGAGGGACTCTAGTAATTGAGTGTAATTGGAACGGAACACGGGCTCCCCACTTCCCACTCCCCACTCCCAAGATCTCTCTAGTCAGTTGACGGATGACAGTCCCCAGTGGAAGCTGTAGAAGTGCAGCAGATTGCATCCACAAAGAATGCGACTGTATCTCAACCCGATGGCCCCAATATGTCCTCGCCTGACCTGCTAGTTCAATTTGCACATCGCACATATGAAAAACAAGCATATATACATTATACTTTATAGGTATACTATATACTATAGAGATGTGCAATGGAAACTTTTGTGGGCCACAATGAAAATGTAATAAAAGTAAAACGGGAGGCTGCATTGATAAAGCGGGTAATCTATATGACGACATGGTCTCGAGTTACTATGTAAATACCACCACCCTGCATATGGATCGTGTTTACATACCTATGCACGTATGTCGGTAATCTCGGGCTGCTGGGAGACCTTATTGTTATACGACTCGAGCTGGCGACTCTTTAATTTAATTATGACTATTTTATTAATTGAAATGCGTAGTATTGTATAAATGGAAACGTTCAGGCCAGCAATAACAACGATGAAATAAAAGCTTCCAATCAAGATCTGTGCTTTATACGTTTGCTAACCATAAATCCAAATAGTCGTATCGGTGTCAGTTCGAATTGTCATTCCACTGCAGAAAAGTCGTATGTTGTCTTCAAATGATCGTCGCTAGATAGGATAGATCTTCCTCTGTCTTGGCCAAGATGCACCTGATCGATCAATGGGAGGTCTTGGCCATCCACTCGTGAGTAAATGTAGTAATCCCCATAGGCGATTACAAAGTTGCGCAACTTCATAGCTTGTCACACTTGGCTCGGATTCTAGTTTTCATTCCCACACTAACCTGTTTGGAAAACCAACAAACAAACGCCCAACCCTCTTCCTTAGTTTATTACATTGTAATGTTTGTGAATACTTTAAAAAACAGTACATGCTCTGATAAGTGCATCAAACTTGAAAGATCTAGGGTTTCTTAATACTAAAATATGGATAGTTCAATCCCTTAAATGTCATTACAACAATTAAAAAATCGTAATTCAAGATCCTTAAGCGATGATAATTATAGACTGTTACTAGTACTTACTCCTTTTTATAAAAATATGGGTGCTTTAAATACTATATATATCTAGAGATCACACCATAAGCTTCGATGTAACATCCACTCCATTTAAGTACCCGAATTTGCTTGTAACTTTATTTGAAAACCCCTCTCCAATTAAATACTCGTAAATCAAGATCCCAAATCGTCGACAATGACACTCTGTTATCAAGTACTGAAATTATTTATAATTTCCACACCATAATGGCTAAAATCGGATCCGCCTCCTACAGTCAGTTTTATAATAGTCGTAAATAAAGCTGTGGGAACTTTCTCAATTGGAAGCATGCCGAAACAGTGAAAACCCGTTTGCGCGGAGCAGAAATCAAATAAATTTATTATTATTGGTCAGTTTATAGACTATAATTTCGAACAATTGAATCAAACGCAAACACACACCACTAAGTTTACTACGCACAAATTAAAGATCAAATATAGCAATTGGGTGCAGAGAAGTCCCAACGAAAATGGCGTATACTCTAGCCGAAGTATCGTGTGATTTCTTCTGAAATAAAGAACGTGATAGATCGACCTTCTCAGCCGATCCCAGAGTATTTTCTCTAGAAGATTCCAAACTCGGGGGAGAGTCGACCAATGAACGTTTAGCGCAATTCGATTCCCAGACATTGGCTGGCAATCTGGGTCTGGTTTTCTGATGGCTACAGAGTGCGGGAAATCCGGCTGAAAGCAGTTTTCACCAAACTTATCCAAAGTCAAGAGCATGGCGCACACGAAACTCACGGATACCTATATAGGGTACCCATACCGATACTACCGATACGACTGCATTCCGACCACGTCGCCACCACCACGACTGTGATTCTGGTCGAAAACCGAATCAAGGGTATACTGCAACTGCAATATTCAATATTATACTCAAAACGAGTGCAGTCTGGAACTTGGGGGACCGAGGGAAGCCCCAGAGATTGGGTTGTTCGGGGGCTAGCCTCCATGGAGAAGGTCGTCATACATTTTTGGCCCGGCTCCGACTTTATAAATTTTTATGCACGCGGCACGCTGGGCGTATGCGCAATAAGTATATATAATTTGATCCAGCGGAAAACCCCCTGCATTCTCCTCTCCACCTTAAATACTGGCTAATTTTTATCAATTGAAATAGGCCCAGCCTCAAGTCTTGTCAATCGCCTCATCTTCAGGACCTTGACGGTAATCACCCGTAAATAAATACCCCTACATTCAAGTGGCAAGTGGCAATTAGCAAACCCAAGGGGAAGTCAATTGCCATCCTCTACAATGTTTTAAATGCAAGAGGTGCCACTCGATTCCCTCTAAAAACATAATAATTACTCTGTGGCGATAAACAAATCCCTAGGAGGTTTTACTTTAGATGGTTAAAAAATCTGTAAAAATGTAATCCAATCTAAAAGAAAGTTAAAACATTATCTAAATCAAGAACAAATGTTAAAGGGCCATACCAAATGGATTAGGTCAATACTTGTAACTTAGTTAATATTTTTAAAATTAATTTATCTCTTAAATTAAGGGTTCCGATCTATGCAAACCCTAAACCCTAAACTGCAGGGCAAAATATTGGTACAACTATGTATGTCTTAATCAGCTTTATTTGTTTTGGCTCAGTACTTATTTCTACAAATGTCAGCAGCAGTTTGCATGGATAAAGAAATTTAATTGATTTAAATTGCATTTGAAAATTGCGCTACTTGTTTTTTTATTTACCCATTTTTCTAAATTTCCTCTCAATATGTACAATGTATTCATAAGCCCCCGGTCTATTTATAGGCAATTGTAATATTGTTTTGTGGGTTCCATTGTGCCAAGGCACGCTCCTCATTTGGCCAATTCATTATAGTTCCTACAAATCGGCTAACTGCCGTTCGGGCCTCGGGAACTATGTAGCTAATTAATAGTGCCTTTCAGTAGTGTGATTTGTCATTATAACAGCTACATTGTTCGGCGACAAAGAACATTGCACTTTACTGCCATTTTCGTTGGCCAATTAATGGAATGTGTAAAAAGGGGCTTGTCATCACTTGGCGCACAATTCGGTGAGGTGGTGACCAATTGGGAAACCTGTTGCTGACTCAGGATTCTTTCAAGTGAAACAGCCAGTGGGCGTGGAGACTATACTATACTAAACTGAACTATAAACTGGGTTACCTAAGAGGTTGTTATTCTGATAAGTGTAAAAATGCAAATTAGTTTGGAAGCCACTCATTAAATAAAATTAAGCTTCTCATAAATTAAACTGTTTACGTTTGTAATAAAAGTCCTAACGGAAACATCCAAAAACCTATTTTAAAAATAAGTTAAAAATTTTAAAAAGCATTCTTTATAATACTGACATATTTAAATTTATGACGAACATAAAAAATATTGTTTTTTCAATATCAGCAATTAAAACTTTTAAAAACCTTTAGTAGTATCCCAAGACTTTAATGCACATATTGTTTTATTATCCGTAGAGTTACACGTTTTCCTATAAACTTCCTAGTTCTTGACTTTTTCTAAAATGAAGTACCAAATCCATCCTTGTTGTCCAATCCTGCTTCGGTCGATTTCTATTTGCAATTGATCCTTCCACCAGTTAACCTCTTTTCCGCATGCAAATTGCTGTGCTCCACTGGCATTCCTCCCACTTTGCAATTTGTTGCAATTTTCTAAATATAGCTTAACCCATTAAAGTCACTTAGAATGCAAAGCCGACAGCGCGGACTCGTTTCAATTGGCGCAAGTAAAAGTGAATTTAAAAGTGCTTTTCCTTTTTGTTTTTTATTATTTTTTGCACTGTGCAGGCTGCCAGAGAGACGCAGAGTTCATTCATCCAATTTCGTATTGTTTGTGCGAAAGTGGACTTCCGCATATGGCCGGTCGGTCCACCACCGCCCCCAAAAAGCCAGTGAAAAGCGAAAGTGCGACTGTGCCCGCCTGCATTTCGCCTCCCCCCATTTAATCATTGCAAATTTTATGCAATCTGCCGTTTGAGAGTGTGTGCTGATCTTTTTATAACCACTTTGTGTGTGCCATATATCAAAAAGCAGATCATGTCAGGCATTTTTCATATGTAATTCAATTTGATTAAGTGCGCAGAGCGTGCGCCAAAAGTGCATTGACTCCGGAGGCTGCCGTTTGGCTTTTGGAAAATAGAAAAATTAGCCTAATCGAATTGAGAGTCTCTCCGTATAAAGTGATCTAATCAGCCGAGAAAGCCCAACGGGGAGTTAATGCATTTAAATGTATAGTATAGTGCAGAGGTCGTATGATTATCCGGCGATGGCACGCGATTCGGTTATTTGTCTTTGGATACTTAGTCCCCATGGCAGACTGATATCTTTTCTGACGCACAGTTGAACTCCTGTAACTCCAACTTTCTTCGGTTTATTTTACTGTAACACTACTGTATTGTATTTATAGATTAAAAAAATATATATACAATAATCAATAATAAACAAAACTATTATATTTAAAATTTTATATATTTATATTATTAAAAGTTAATTTTCTTCTAAAATTATATATTTTTTAAATATAATGTAAGGTTTTTTAAAGCCTTGGGCCAACATTTGTTTTTTGTACAGATGTTGTATTATTATGTATTAAAAAAAATGTTTTTGTTAAACTTTTGTCTGTAGCCAAAAATAGAAACATGGCAATCTGATAGTGAGCTAGCCAGTGCAATTAGTGAAAGTAAAAGTCGTCGGCTTTTGCCTTTATGCAACCTGATTTTATCGACCAAACAAAAATCTCATGCAACTGTAACTGCATTTGAAAATCCCGCCAAGCGAATCTCCGATTGGCAACGCGGTCGCCTTAGAGATCGGTATTAATTCCCTATGCTCTTGAACCTTGTAATTTTTGCCAAAATAAACCTATTTTTAAATTTTAAAATGCGAATTTAATTAAATTTTAAAATAAATTAAAAATGTTATACAAAAAAGTCTTAAAAACTTTCGAAGCTGTATATGCAAAAGGTATATAACCTGTTTAAACTTTGAACAACCGATACATTCATCGATTGACATCGATAAAAAGCGCGGGAAAACATCGAAAGTTATCGCCTATCTACCTATGTTTTCGTACATCACTATTTCAAGCCACCCACACCCGCATGCGCTATTAGAAGTTGCGAAAAACTGAAAGTTGTGAAATTCTCTGAAGAATGAGTGTGCCAAGCTGCAAGCTGCTCATGAGGCGGATGCCCTGCACCCTGGACGAGCTGTCGCAGCTGCTGCAGGAGTGCAAGTTCGTCCTGCCGCGGTCGCTGAACACCTACGGACGGAAGAGGGTGCTCATCGAGTACAAGGATCCCAGGGACGCGGAAATAGCCTTGATGCAGCTTCAAGGTCTCAGCGATATGCTGGACAAACCGCTCTACGTCAGCAAGTTTGGACCCCGTCCCAATGCAGACCCAGATGACCCCAATGCCAGCAAGTGCACCCAGACACAGGGAGCTGCAGCTGGAGCTGGATACCAGGATCCGGGAATCGACAAGTACGTTCGCAGGCTGTATGCCTGCAATAGTCAGTCCGATTTCACACAGCCGCCGCCGCCATATCTCAGCTATAGCTATCCACCCATCAACGGGGATATTCTAGCCAGGATCGGTGAGCATCTGCAGACAAACCCGCGGTTCTATAACCAAGTTCTGCACCTGATGAACCGCATGAATCTGGAGCCACCTTTTGAGAAGCGTTCGAGTGGCTTGATGGTCCAGAACCATCACCAAAGTGTGGGCACTCAAACGGAGGTGATGGCCAGTGAATCGGAAAGCGAGTTGGAGAGCGAGGATGAGGAGCAAAAGAGGGCCAAGAGGCAGCGAGTGCTATCAGCACCAGCTTCCAGCGAGAAAATCCATGCCAAGATCCTCAAGAGAACCCGTCAAATGCTGCAGCAGGCTGCCCAGCAAGCTAGTACCTCCAATCCCAAGCAGGACATCCAAAAACCCACCTTTGATGTACCCAAGATCGAACTGAAACTGCCAGAATCCCTAAGGCCCAAAACCCAAGCCACCCACAAGCCAGAAGGGCGGCTATCCAGCAGCGAACTCCAAGCCCTGCCTGTCTATAAAAACTATAAAACGGGCGAGCCCAGCAACAAGTTGTACATTAAGAACCTGGACAAGAGCGTGGCCGACCAGCAGCTGAGGGAACTCTACGCCAAGTACACTGCCCCTGAGCATTTGGACATCAAGGTCATGCAACAGGGTCGCATGAAGGGGCAGGCGTTCGTTACTTTCCTCAGGCCCAACGAACCGGAGGTCATAGCCCAGGCCCTCGCCGAAACCAATGGCCTTTTGTGGCACAACAAGCCCATGATTGTTTGCTACGGCAAACAGCAATAGAAATCAAGTCACTGAAAATATATCAGGGAGGAGGTTAGGTTTTTCTCGCTTTTTTTCACTAAAACTATTTCGTAGTCGTAGCTGTAGATAACTTCAATCTGGTTTGTTCATATGCTGAGGTCAGCTGGAGAAGTAGCTCTGAAAATAACATACCTATTTTCTACAAAATTCCCATCAAAAATTATATACAAAAAATACTTACAAAAATACGTCTAACAACCGTGAACTAACGCTTATATTTTATAATTACTGTTGGATTGCAGACAACTGGGCCTGATCGATACTATCTACGTGGAAGGAGGTCGCCCAGATCATCGAGCTAATGACCCCGAGGATTCGTTCAACGAAGCCGAAATCACAGAGTCCACAGTACCCTTAAAAACCAAAAAGAACAAGTCCAAGCAATTGGCCATGCAGCCCTACACATACGTAATTGCAGTGGATTTTGAGGCAACTTGCTGGGAGAAACAGGCTCCACCACAATGGCGAGAGGCGGAGATCATTGGTGAGCTAATAAGACGGATTCCTCGATTTACATTTGATTGATAAGCACAATTTCCGTCATAAGTTACAAAATAGTAATTCCGTTCTTATATCGTTTACAGAATTCCCAGCCGTGCTGGTTAACCTAAAGACGGGCAAGATCGAGGCCGAGTTCCACAAGTACATCCTGCCCATCGAGTCGCCGCGCCTGAGTAGCTACTGCACAGAGCTGACGGGCATCCAGCAGAAGACCGTGGACAGTGGAGTGCCGCTCCAGACGGCGCTGATGATGTTCCACGAGTGGCTGCGCAAGGAGCTGCGCGCCCGCAATCTCACCTTGCCGAAGATGAACAAGTCAAACTTGCTGGGCAACTGCGCCTTCGTCACCTGGACCGACTGGGACTTTGGCATGTGCCTGGCGAAGGAGTGCTCCCGCAAGCGTATGCGCAAGGCGGCCTACTTCAACCAGTGGATTGACGTGCGGGCCGTCTATAGGGAGTGGTACAAGTACCGACCGTGCAACTTCACCGATGCGCTGACCCACGTAGGACTGGCCTTCGAGGGCAGGGCCCACTCGGGAATAGACGACGCCAAGAACCTGGGCGCCCTCATGTGCAAGATGGTGCGCGACGGAGCGCTCTTCTCGATCACCAAAGATCTGACGCCATATCAGCAGCTCAATCCCAACTGCGTGTTGTGAGCTCCAGCGGCCAGCAATCCCTCCAAACGAAACGCAGAATATCCATTTAGTGTTTAGTGGACTTCGTTTAATTAATGATACTAAACGCAAGGAGAAAGATGATTGCTACTAAGATGTGTAAACTGAAATCTATTGAGAAATTGCATGAAATTGTAAATTGTTTTTTTTCTTCCCCTAAAATTTGTCCTGATTTTCTTGTAACGGCAATTGATAAGACTTGAACTATTCGAAGCATCGCAGCGATCATGCATACATATAAATATATAAATAGCTATACAAATGGTCTTAGAGCATACATATTTTTCTACCACTCATACTTACTTGATAATGTTTAGTTGTAGTCTATACTACGGATTGCAATACTTATTTTAACGACTTACACCGCCTACCATTTAGGAGATAAATTAATAAAACGACAATGGCTACATGTTGTCTATATGTGTGCTGTTAATTGCGTTATTCAAAACTAAACTGTTTTATATTTTTTGGAGGTCAAACAAGGAAATCGCTTGACAGTCGGTGCTTGATGGCCACTTGAATGACGGCCTTCTCGCCTGAGATCATCCAGTCCGGATTGTCCTCTGTAAGCCAGTCCACCGTGCAAACGGGCAGCCCACAGTAGATATCCGATTTAATGACCCGCAGGGCACAGACGCTGGTTGGCTGAAAGCCCCGCAGGCAATCGGAAAACTTGGCAGTGGAGATGTAGTTGATGTCGCCGAGAAGTTTCCGGTAGTTGAGGTCGCCTTTAAAGATCACCAAGGCTGCCTCGCTGATGTAGACATACAGACAGGGCTGAACTCGCTTCATCTGGCTGCAGTCGTGACCGCTTGTCCAGAAGTAGCTCTTGTCGCACAGGATGAACGAACGATCGCGGAGGTAGCCCTGAATCCTCTTGCCAAATGCCCTGAATTCAGGAATACAATGTTTGCGGAAGTAGCCAAGCAGCCAGAGAAAGTCCTGATGGGTGACGTCTGAGATGAACCAGGGAATAGCCTTCACATGGAACCTCACACGACGAGCCAAGCCCGATTCTATGATATATTCAGCCAGCAGGAGATCCGCAAAGAGCTCAAAGCCCGCATTATCACACACGATGTCCACGTAGACGGGGTCACAGGCCTCCGTGAGATCCTTCCATATATCCGACGACTGGTCGGCCAGGAGATCCTTGTCGTATCTAGAAATCTGACGGAATATCTTGGCACTCGGACCAGCGTCTGTCATGGACAGGTCATAGCGATTGCCCCAGGCGGATAGTTTAAGCAGCTGCTGAAAGTTCTCTTTGCTCCGGGCCAGCTTCCTGGTGGCCTCCAGGACGTCCTTCATCTGGGGCGTCACTCTCCTGGCGGCCGACATCTTTTGGTCACCGAAGTAATCGTAGTTTACGAGGGTCTCTGAGCGCTGGAAGATCGACCAGATGCGGCGGTACATGTAGCACTCGGCGTGCATCCAAACGGCGGAGAACCATTGCCTCCTGTCCTCGCTGAGATTCATCAGAAACTTGTTCCAACTCTCGGTGTCCGGGGCCTTGACCCGGAATATCTGGAACTCATCGTTGTTGATCATCTCTCCGCGCAGCAGTTCGAGACTCCAGATGGTTCGCTTTAAGTCGAAGTGGGCATAGTCTCCGCACTCTTTAATAATTTCCGGCTCCCGCTCCTGCAGAAAAGTGATCAAATCCTTTAAAAGTCCTGGGGATCTTCGCTTGAAGGTGACAAAAGCGAAGCTGCTCAAAAATCTGGCGGATAGCTCTTCATTAACTCCTGGCGGAGTGTAAATGATCAGATTCTTTTCGTTGAACTTGAGTTCCTTCATCTGCTCGATGGTCGCCTCATTGTCCGCAATAGTGGCATCTGTCACTTCGGTGTGACTACTGGCCTCACTCGGCATTTTGGATGAAACTGGGAATTTGGAAACCTCATAAGCCTGTGCCAGTAAGAATTTTCAATTCCGAATTGAGATTTTTATAATTTTTAGTCGCCCGCTGGGCAACTGACGTTTATAAGTGTGAGTGTCTGTGCTTTTATAACAATGCAAAAGGCTTAATAGAGCGGGAATCCATAGAGACGGAATGAGATAGTATGGTTTTAAAATTGGTATGTACACAAACGAAGTTCTTTTCTTGGTGATGTTTGACTAAGAATAATTTTGTTATAGCGTCCTATAATTAAATTTTCAAAATATAATACATCAATATACATTTGTAGTTACTCTTTAAAACATCCTATTACTTTCCGCCTCTTGGATAACCCACTCTATGTATCAACAATCAAGCTATGTAGTAATAAAGACTAAAACAATTCAACCATTTGCGTATTCTGGTCCATAATTCTTCCTCTACTTGCTGGCAAACTGAATGACGCCGTATTCCCCGGTCAGCATCCACTCCTTATCCTTGGCAAACAGTTGCTCCGCCACACCTTCGCCCAGTCCGCAGATCAGATCCGCTTTAACTGTGCGCAAAGTGCAGAGATTAGAAGGACGAAAGCCTGAAAAAGGACATGGAATACATAAATAATTGCAGGACTTCAAAACCAGATAGACCCACCCCTCAAGCAGGTTTCGAAGGACTCTGTGCTGTCCCAGGAGAAGTCCCCTAGCAACTTGCGGTAGTTGAGGTCACCCTTGAAGATCACCAGTTGCGCCTCCTTCAGGCGATTGTAGAGCGCCGGATTCACTTCCGGCATGCGATAGAACTCGTACGGACTCGTCCAAAAGTGCTCCAGCGGCGCGAGCTCGAACTTTCCCTCCGTCGTGAAACGCTGCCACTTTTTGCCCACCTCGCTAAGCACCGGGTCCGGATGATCGGCCAGGAACTTCAGCGTCCAGTGGTAGTCGTGCTCCATCACGTCCGATATGAACCAGGGAATGGCCTTGGGATTCAGGCGCACCTTGGCCGCCAGACCCTTGTCGATTATGTACTCGGCCAGGATGAGATCCGTGTACAACTCGTAGCCGGCGTTGTCGAAGATGATGTCTACAATGCCATCGCCGGAGGCTCCCTCCAGGGCCTTCCACACCTCGGCGGTGCCGTCAATCAGCAGCTTCTCCTCCAGATCCGTGACCTGTTCGAAGGCATTGCCAGTGGGCTTGACCTGTTTGCCGGAGGTGATGGACAGGTCGCAGCGGTTGCCCCACAGGTTCAGCTTGATCAGCTGCCGGAAGGTGTCCGAGTTTCGCTCATTGTTCCGGGTCGCCGTGGCCACCGCCAGCATGGCGTCCACGCTCAGCTTGGCAGCCGTCTGCTTCTGCTGGCTGAAGTAGTCGTGAGCGGCCAAATGGGATGTGGCCCGGAAAATGGACGAGATCTTGCGGTACATGTAGCACTCGGCGTAGAGCCAGCAGACGGAGAAGTAGCTCCTCTTGTCCTCGGGCAGTTTCTCCAGGAATGCATTCCACAGCTGAGTGTCGGGATCTGAAAGGAACGGATTCGTTTTCATTATCATTTGGAGATACATTATGGTTGAACTACATCTGTAATCCAGTGAGGATTGTATATAGTATTTTCATTTTAAAATAGTTCCTCTTCTTTTATTTTAAAATATTTGTTTAAGTCTAGCCATGATTTTTTGTAATTTTATTTATTAAGTATTATTCATATGTTTTATATTTTTTTTTTTATTATTCTTCAGAGAAACAAACAAGTCATAACTTGAGTCATGAAATAAGTATGTAGTTATATTTAATGGACATTTTTAAGAGATTTGCTATTGAAATTTTACTTGATTTACGTGCTTTTAAAATGACTCGCATCTAGCTGTTACTATCCCTACATAAATTTTCGAAAAACAATGAAATATAGTTTATGTCAAACTATGAAATTGCATATATTTATATGAAGGAGCCCTCTAATACCCTGAATATAAGAGCGTAAATACTCACCCTGTCCCTCAAAGGGCAACAGAGGACCGTTCCTCAGGATGTCCTCCCTCAGCTGCCTGACATCCTTTGTAGCTTGTTCAATATCGGCGGCTGCATCGCCGTATGTGGCCAGCAGATCGCCCTTGTCCTTGACCAGGGAATCCGCGATGGTGGCCAAGGTCGAGGGCAGGCGCACACGAAAAGTGTAGTAGGCAAAGCTCCTGTTAGTGGTCAAAATTAAAAATGATTAGAAGTCCATCCCACGACTCTGGTGTGTGGGTGAAGATAAGTCCGCGCATTTGTTACATATGCTCGGCCCATATAGACAACATCTATACTAGGCGCTATATTTAGCCCTACTCACTGCTTATAGAGGGCCGCCAGTTCGGAGTGCGGCGGGGTTGGTCCGTCCACAATTCCATTCTTCGCGTCAAAATCCGGATCGGCAGCCATCTCTTGGGACTCTGCTATTGCTCCCGTCGAATATGTTTTTGGAATGGAAATGAACTGTAGCGGAAAGTTTATAACGTGATAATATTGTGGCGCGTAGTGTGGCCGCTTTGGGGGCCATGCGAAATGCTAGCGATACTTCCCCAGGCGATAGTTGGTTTAAATTTAAACTTTTAGCCTTTACAAATTTAACAAAATTAATTATAATAGGGTACCAAAATAAATTATAGTTTATTATTTCATAGGAAAAATAGAAAATCTATTAATGTTACAATAAGTAATACGGTAGAATTTTTAGTTTGGTTAGCCGACATTAGGGTTAGTTAAATTCAATATCTACGTCTTTATTTATAGAACTTCTCTCTTTGGTTTCTAGATATGTAACGACTATTTATTACCAATAATTTAAACTGTCCAGCCTTTACAGTTAGTATCCAAATTCCCGCGATCCGTCCACAAACTGGATGACCCCATAGCTGCCCGACACCATCCAGCGTGGATCCTGTCTGCTCAGCGCCTGACCAACCCCTTCGGCTAGGCCGGAGATGACCTCGCTCTTGACCCTTCGCAGCACACAAATATTGCTGGGCAGGAAGCCCCGGAGGCAGGTGCTCATCTCTTGGGTGGTGTCCCAGCAAACGTCTTGCAACAACTTGCGATAGTTGAGCTCACCCTTGAAAACCACCAGCTTGGACGACTGCAGGGAACTATATAATTCTGGATCCGTGTGAGACATGCTGTAAATTTAAGGAAACATGAGTTACATTGACAAACCCGCAATTCCGCAACACCCACCTGTAAAAAGCATGTGGCGAAGTCCAGAAATGTGAGATTGGTGCCAGCTCGAACTTTCCCTCGTCGAGGAATTGCAGGAACTTCTTTCCTATCAGACTTATGATGTAGTCCGCATGCTGACTCAGGTACTCCAGCGTCCACTTGAAGTCCCGCTCCGTGACATCGGTGACGAACCAGGGATGAGCCTTCACGTGGAAGCGCACCTTAGTGGCCAGTCCCTTCTCGATCATGAATTCCGCCAGGATGAAGTCGCTGAACAGCTCGTAGCCTGCATTGTCCAGGATAAAGTCCACCTGCTTCTGCTTCTTGGGCTTCTGATTGTCCAGGCACCTCCAGATCTCCGCCGCCTGGTTAACGAGTACATGCTCATCGGGGGCCGCCACATTCTCCAGCACCTGGCGGTTGGTTTGCTTGACTATCTCCTGATCGCTGGCCACATCGTTGCAGTTGCTCCACATGTTGATCCGCAGCAGCTCGTCGAACACCTCCAGGCTGTTCTCCGATCGGCGAGTGTACTTGGTCAGGGCCAGGACATCATCCATGTTGTCGGTCAAGGCCTGTTCCTTGACCTTGGCAAAGAAATCGTAGGACTTGAGGAAGATGCTATTCTCCAGGAAGGATTGGAGTTTACGGTGCAGATAGCACTCGGCGAGAAGGGAGCTGGCCCTATAGAAGGAGCGCTCTCCATCGGGCAGGTGGCTGATAAAGTTGTTCCAGAGTTCTCGATCGGGTTCTGGGGATAGGGAGGTACTTGTAGTGAGTAGAATGATGGAACTGATGGAATCTAGTAACCTACCCTCCCCCGTGAAGTTGTGGAACGGTTTGTCCGTCTGCAGCTCGTACTTCAGCCGGGAGATCAGTCCAATGATGATCTTTAGCTCCTCGCGGGCAGCCTGTGCGAATTCATTGGAGGCTGGAAGGCAAATAGGTATAAGAGGTGCCCAAAAACGCTGGTCGGGATTAGCATACCGAATTGAGCCACTAGCTCTGTTTTGTCCCGCGTCAGGGTGTCTATCACGTTGGTCAGGACCACGGGCAGGCGACTCCTGAGGGTGTGGAAGGCGAAGCTCTGCTTGTAGTGGCCCGACATGAAGGCATTCAGAGGCGTCTGCAGGTTCACAATCTGGTATTTGGCATCGAACTCCGTTCGCAGGAGACGCGATATTTTGATGGGTTGCGTGCTCGAATCTGACTTGGCTGGATGCTCCTCCTCCGGCTGGTCGGCCTCCGAGGGGGGCTCCTTCGACGAGGATTCCATTGTTTTGCTATTTTTGTGTTTGTTTTGTGCGTTTACTGCTGCATTATGGGAAATTTACCTTTTTTGACTGATTTTTCAAAGCTCCAGTGCGCAGTGTTGGTAAGCGTGCGACATGCTGCGCTTATGCGCGGGCGTTTGTGAATTTGCATTGTGATGTTATGGGTGAATGTGCTCGGGAATTGTTTAAAGCCCAAGATACTTGTATTTCGAGTTCCAGCAATGTTTGTTTATTACTGATTTATTATTTATTTTCATTTTGTTTTTTAAAAATTGTATTAATTTGCCATGATTTTATTATAAACATTTTATTAAGAAATACTTAAATAAAAAATGTTTGGTCAACAGGAGTTGATATTTGATTGACCCGCTTCTATCAGACAATTGGATAATATATAATTTCACCCTTTCCAAGCTTGCTATGCCATTTCGATATCTGCTAAATAAAATATATGCTATAAAAAAATTAATATTAGTCACGATGAGTTTCCCGAATTGACATTTTTTGAGTCAATCATAATTAATAATTATTTATGGAAAGATTAATACATAAACATAAACGATGACTTGTATACTGTTAAAAAATGAATATTCATAAATTCGAGTTCACCGAACTTCGAGAAGTTAAGTAAGGCCAGATAAAACAAATTATGGACTTTAGCCGACAATCGTTGGAGTCTTGATTCCATACTAATTCCATTTATTTGTACATTTTAATTTGTACAATATATGTTGCAATTATTATTGTAATTAACTACAATTATCATACAGTTTTTTTACACAATAACGATCTAAAATTGTGATGTAATGTAAAAAACGGTACATTGGCAAGCAGCTGACTGTGAACAGTGTTGCGCAGCGCGCCACCCCACGGCCTTTTTTAGCCGCTTTTCACTTCCGCATTCGAGGCGCCACGCTGGCCACACTACCCTTTATTTTTATTGCATTTTTCCAACGAACGCGACGCGAAATGTTCAAAATGTTCCAAGCGCGAGGCACCACGGCCGACCAGTGATTGCGACGCGATTGATCCCTTCGATCCGATCTGGCAGTCTGACAGTCTGGAAAGCAAACCGCAGAGCAACCGCAGCAAATGCCATCGTGAATAGCAACGCCCACCCACCCAGCGCGACTCACACACAAGCACACGAACGGGGACTTGGACTTGGATTCGGATTCGGAGTCACCGCACACACACACGCACACGAACGGACTGGGGAGCACCCCACCCGAACACCCCTACTCACACACACACACACCCGCAGAGATGGCACACCTACCGCTGCCGCTTTATGGCTTCGCGGCATTCTTCATGGTCTTCTGGTTCGGCACCTGGATGGTCCACGTGATAGCCATCTGCTACGGCCGCTACAAGCTGCACAAGAAGTCCTGCAAGCTGCCCACGGAGGCCCAGCCCCTGCCGGGCGTCTCCATCCTCAAGCCCCTCATGGGCGTCGACCCCAACCTGCAGCACAACCTGGAGACCTTCTTCGCCATGGACTACCCGCTCTACGAGCTGCTCTTCTGCGTCGAGGACAAGGAGGACCCGGCCATCCAGCTGGTGGAGCGGCTGCTGGCCAAGTACCCGCTGGTGGACGCCACCCTCTTTGTCGGCGGCTCCGATGTGGGCGTCAACCCCAAGATCAACAACATCCATCCCGGCTACACGGCCGCCAAGTACGACTTTGTCATGATCTCGGACAGCGGCATCAAGATGAAGGACGACACGCTACTGGACATGGTGCAGAACATGTCGGAGAAGCACGCTCTGGTGCACCAAATGCCCTTCACCAGCGACAGGGACGGGTTTGCGGCCACCTTCGAGAAGGTCTTCTTCGGCACGGTGCAGAGCAGGATCTACCTGTCCGCGGACGTGCTGGGCATCAACTGCCACACGGGCATGTCGTGTCTGTTGCGCAAGGCGGTCATCGACCAGCTGGGCGGTCTGAGAGCCTTTGGCTGCTACCTGGCCGAGGACTTCTTCATTGCCCGCAGTGTGACGCGGCTGGGCTGGAAGATGCGCATCTCCAACCAGCCGGCGCTGCAAAACAGCGGCCTATGCGACATCGGCAGCTTCCAGGCGCGACTCATCCGCTGGGCCAAGCTGCGTGTGGCCATGGTGCCCACCACCATTCTGCTGGAGCCGCTCTCCGAGTGCATGATTCTCGGTGCCATAGCCGCTTGGTCAGCCTCGGTGCTGTTCAGCTGGGACCCGCTGGTGTTCTATCTGGTTCACGTGCTCTGCTGGTTCCTGTCCGACTGGCTGCTGCTCTCCATCGTCCAGCACGGCTCGATGCCGTTCCACAAGTTCGAGTTCGTCGTCGGCTGGCTGTTCAGGGAGCTAACTGGACCCTATCTGTTCCTGCACGCCCTCTGGAATCCGGCGATCCGTTGGCGCGCCCGCACCTACAAGCTCCACTGGGGCGGAGTGGCCTACGAGCTGAACAACCCCGCCTCCGATGCTGCCAACGCCCCACTGGCGCCCCAGCCCGCACCCACGTTAGAGCCCGCGGTGGCCACCACCGGCGGGGGAACCACGGGGGACACGCTGATCTGCACGGGAGCCAAGCAGCGACTGCTGGTGTCGTAGCACCTACTAATTAAGTTTGTTATTTTGTACTTGTGAGCAACCAACTCAGCGTCTAGCGTCTGGTAGTAGTATTATTAGCTGAACCTAAGTCACTACGTAAGTCTAGACTTAAAGCTGTAAGAAAGGCGCTCCTCCTGGACGCGGCAGGACAGGCAGGCGGACCTAGATTAGTTTAGAGACACTGATTAGACGACGAGCGCATCGCTGCGATCGCTCGCCAGAGATTTAGACGTTAGCTGTAGGCGATGGAGCAGATCGACCCGGGCGCAGTTTGGTGGCTTCGCGAGAACTGGTTAATGAAGCTTTGTGTGTATATATTACGATCGTATGTTTTGTAGCCAGCCTGTACAGACGTAAGCCCTAGTTAGCATTATGATTGCGTTAGCTCTCCCCCGCTTCTGTTGTTGCTTTATTGAATTGTAATTATTTATTTGGCCAAGCACCTTAGTTCTATTGTTATAGCGTTAAGCCTAAACTTATGATTACTTTTAGTTGTTTCTGTTTTTCTGTTTGCCCCAGCTTCTGTACATAAGCGCCGAAGGGAATGCCATTGAATAAATCGAGTCGAGTCGAAACGAAACGATCGAGAGAATGAAAACCCATTAGGTTCTGATTGATGTTTATTTTCGGTATCGTTTTTCATAGATCGCTTCTGCTTATCAGTTAGAGGGCTGAGTCAGCGGGGGTTTTGACCAAATAGGTGGGAAATGTTTGTCTGAGTCACACCATCGAGACAACGCTCGCTTTCAGCGCAATTATCATAGCACTTTGACTCGACTTTGTCCGCTGTTAATGGGGGTTTAGAAGTGGTCTGTCCGAGTTATGTATGTGGGAGGTGATGGGTCAGGCTGGCGCACAATAGATGCTGTGGGCTGTTTGTAGAACCTTCTAGTCACATGATCGAAGGGGATTGCTCTGTCGGAACATTCTTTCGATTGCTTGCCACGCAGCCCCTTATCTTATTGAACTTAAGCCATGACAACAGCGCGACACAAACATATTTATGAATTAAGCGACTGCAGATAGGAGAACAGAACAGGCATATCAGCGGCAAAGGGTGGATGTAGCGTGTAGTTGGACCTTCGATGCAGGTCCGGAACAAAAAACAAGCCAAGGCCAACGCCTCTGGCTTTCGCATTAAGTAATAACAATTAGGAACTCGGGATAGATACATTTGGTGGGCACACACCATAAACGACTGCGGATATTTCTTTTTGCCCTGCCTAAAATGGGAGCACATGCAATTAAAACGGAATGACGTACTTTTGGGGGTGGGGAGTGCTAAAAATTCCGAAAGCGGCCATATCTCGGCCGGAGAATTATGTAAATTAATCAATCGTTATCAGCACCCGAGGCACGGCGATCCACTCGAATTTTCAGTTAACCGATTAGATAATACATGTGGGTACTGCGAAAACCCTTCGACTAGAATTGTTGCTTCGTTTGCCAAGCTAAATCGAACTACGAGAAATAACCTTTAATTAAGTATGTAATTTTAAACAAATTTGTAACCTAAGCCTAGAGCTAGTCAAACGTAACTATATTTACCGAATAAACCGAAAATCAAGACCAAAATAAACCAGAGTTTGTTTACTTTATAAGTTCGTAAAAGAATGCTGTATAACGCATATTTGTTCACGTCCTCATTATTCTGATAAGACGCAATGGAGTGAATCATCCGATTTATTGTGATTTACAATTAGATCGTTTGTTTATGATTACTCAAAATAGGTATGGGCTATCTAATCGACCTTAGAAGAGCATGATGAACACGTGAAGAAAAGATAGCAGGATGGGATGTTGCACTTATGTAGCTGAAATACAGTGATTTGTTTCGTCCGTCATTTTAAGTGAATCAAAGTACTATTTATTAAATTAAACATACATAGATATGTATAAAAATATCAATGAATTGTATTTATTTTCTGGTCTACCATGTTGAACTAAAAGTATGTTGTGGGGCTAGAAAATATAAATATTCTACTCTTCAAATTTAAGGATATACATGATTTATAAACAATTTAAAGGAAAATAAATTAGTAACGTTAAAAAAGTGGTTGTTGATATAAAAACTTGCGTCTTTTTTCTGTGTAGCAAAGGGAGCGCCGGAGAAACCCCAGATTAGGTAGGACTAGGAGTCATGCCTAACAGTATGGGCGTTTCCCTATCAGTTCAATAAAAAAGTGTGCGTTTTTTGGCGATTAAGATACCGGCTATATTTGTCAAAAAGATTTGTTTTAGATATTCTAGGCAATCGGCAAGCTGCCATTGATTAGGTGCCCGTAGCCTCGGGCTGTTATCAAGAGTCTAGCGTAATCTTCAAAAGTAATCTTCCAAAGTGGTCAACACACTTGACTTTGTTTTTTTGGTACACAATTCAAATTCAAAATTTTAGTTCAACGTGCTGATCTAAATCGATAGCCCGATAGCTATCGAGGCAAGAATGCAGTCGTCTCGCCGTTTACCTAATACGGTCATACTATGATTTTCTCTCTCTTTCGTCTCTTACGTCTTTACTGACTTTACGTGTTACGTTTGCCTGAAATTAAAATTGCGCATCGACATACGGTCATACTAGCCAAAGCTCGAGAATTTTGCAATCGCAAAAAATCGCAAACAAAGGTATTAGAGTGTATTTAAACCCAAATAAAAGGAAATTAAAGTGTCGGTGGCAATATGAACTGCTGTAATTCCCGTAACAAGTGTTTGCAGGTGGATCCGATAGTGGGCTGCCTGAAAAAACATTGAACTAAAAGTGCAAATTGCATGTGAAAAATCCATAGAATGCGCAGAAAATGTTTATCAGTCACACGCACACACACAGGCACAAGTAGAGAGAGCGAGCGAGAGAGAGAGCTCAGCTGTCGCCGGTGCATGTGAGCTTCGGCATGTGTGTGCGTGAACTTGAGTGGGAGGCGGAAATATCGGAAAAATTCCGTTGCTTTTCGGTTTGTTTATATTTAAGAGTTGCCCATTGATTTTTAACAGGCGCCCGAAATTTTAGTGCCGTTTCAGTTCAAAAGTTTCGGTTGAGCTGGCAAAACTTTTCCCACTTTGCTCCATATTTGTTTAGGTTTAAAGTTCAAGTGAACCTACATAATCTGGTAACAAAAAACCTTTAATTCGAAATCAATTAATGTGCTGTTTAGTTATTCTAGCACACTAAGATCTAAGAAATTATTATCGTTTCATTGAATTTCAGTATAATTGTTAGATAGATATGATCGTATCACTTTGGATATTAAATGAAAAAATCATTATTTGGAGGGTATGGTATTCGAAATTAAGAATCTTGAACATTAAACTCTCTCCATTACTTATAAAATGTTAGGTCGACGTCCTTATTTTTCCACTCCCTATTGATTTCTGAGTATTTTCGAAGGGTGGGAAGTTGAATAATTCAATTTTCAATATATATTTTACGATATTTCATTATCAATATGAATATTGACGTCCTTATTTTTTCACTCCTTATTGATTTCTGAGTATTTTCAAAGGATTGGAAGTTGAACAATGCACTTTTCAATATTTATTTTACGATATTTCATTATCAATATGAATATCAAGTTTATCCCAAGTCATTTTTTCCTGTGTAGCCAATGAAAATTCCATGTGATAAACACCCATTGAAAATTTCATTGAAATGTGAAATACACCCTCAATTTAAATGCTTTTCCATCCGCAGATGTCTTAGCTTAGAGCTATCGCCCAAAAACACAAACTGCTTGCAGCAAAAGGACTCAGTCACTCCACTCGTTAGATAACCCACAAACCAAGTAACCGAGAGAGATCCCAGCAAGATGGCCATGTCCAAGGTGATTCGCGTGCTGGAGAAGTCCATTGCCCCCTCGCCGCACAGCGTTTTACTGGAGCACCGCCACAAGAGCGACAGCATCCTGTTCGAGTCCCACGCGGTGGCCCTGCTCACCCAGCAGGAGACGGATGTGATCCGGAAGCAGTACACCAAGGTGTGCGACGCCTACGGCTGCCTCGGGGCCCTCCAGCTGAACGCCGGCGAGAGCACCGTGCTGTTCCTGGTCCTGGTCACCGGCTGCGTGTCCATGGGCAAGATCGGCGACATCGAGATCTTCCGGATCACGCAGACCACCTTCGTCTCGCTGCAGAATGCGGCGCCCAACGAGGACAAGATCAGCGAGGTGCGCAAGCTGCTCAACTCGGGCACCTTCTACTTCGCCCACACCAATGCCAGTGCCTCGGCCTCCGGAGCTCCGGCGCAGCGCTTCGATATCACGCTCTGCGCCCAGCGACGCCAACAGACGGAGGAGACGGACAACCGGTTCTTCTGGAACCGCATGATGCACATTCACCTGATGCGCTTCGGCATCGACTGCCGGTCCTGGCTGCTGCAAGCCATGTGCGGCTCCGTTGAGGTGCGAACCGTCTACATTGGCGCCAAGCAGGCCCGGGCAGCCATCATCTCCCGGCTGAGCTGTGAGCGGGCGGGCACGCGTTTCAATGTGCGCGGCACCAACGACGAGGGCTATGTGGCCAACTTCGTGGAGACGGAGCAGGTGATCTACGTGGACGGCGATGTTACCAGCTATGTGCAGACGCGCGGATCAGTGCCTCTTTTCTGGGAGCAGCCTGGCGTTCAGGTCGGTTCGCACAAGGTGAAGCTTTCGCGAGGATTCGAGACATCGGCCGCCGCCTTCGATCGCCACATGAGCATGATGCGGCAGCGCTATGGCTACCAGACGATCGTGAATCTGCTGGGCAGCTCACTGGTCGGCAGCAAGGAAGGCGAGGCCATGCTGAGTAATGAGTTCCAGCGCCATCACGGTATGTCAGCCCACAAGGATGTGCCGCATGTGGTGTTCGACTATCATCAGGAATGTCGCGGCGGTAACTTCTCGGCGCTGGCCAAGCTCAAGGAGCGGATCGTGGCCTGCGGGGGCAACTACGGCGTCTTCCACGCGTCCGGCAGTCAGGTGTTGCGCGAGCAGTTCGGAGTGGTGCGCACGAATTGCCTGGACTGTCTGGACAGGACGAACTGTGTGCAAACATATCTGGGACTAGACACGCTCGGTCTGCAGCTGGAGGCGCTGAAAATGGGTGGCAAGCAGCAGAATATCTCGCGGTTCGAGGAGATCTTCCGCCAGATGTGGATCAACAACGGAAACGAAGTCAGCAAGATCTACGCCGGCACAGGGGCCATCCAGGGAGGATCCAAGTTAATGGATGGTGCACGATCGGCGGCCAGGACAATTCAAAACAATCTACTGGACAATTCCAAGCAGGTAAGTGGTTAAAAGCATCCCTTTTCCTTCTGTTGCTTACTATAGTACACCATTTCAGGAAGCCATTGATGTGCTGTTGGTGGGCTCCACCCTCAGCTCCGAACTGGCGGATCGGGCTCGCATCCTGCTGCCTTCCAACATGTTGCACGCCCCCACCACTGTATTGAGGGAGCTGTGCAAGCGCTACACGGAGTATGTGCGTCCTCGGATGGCCCGCGTGGCCGTAGGCACCTACAACGTCAATGGAGGCAAGCACTTCCGCAGCATTGTGTTCAAGGACTCGCTGGCCGACTGGCTGCTCGATTGCCACGCTCTTGCCCGCTCTAAGGCGCTGGTGGATGTCAACA